ATGTGAACACTGTCCCCCCGGCTCGGCTCAACTGAATCAACACAATTTTGCGCACAATCTTGGTATCAGCCTCACCGCCATCCAGTAAAGGTGGCCCGGTCACTTTCTGCCCAGCAGAGGAGGTCAAGGGGGCAAATACTATCCGAGGGGAGCCTGCGTTCAGCGAGAAGTGTTGGGTCGCTGTGATCGATGGAATAAAAAAAGACGCGATGTTGTGTTGATAGAAAAACTGGATTTGTGCGCGTGGTCCGGCCGTGACAGTGGAACAGATCGATTAGGTGAGGAGCGAGGCGGAGAGCCCGGAGACCGTGGAACTTTCTTGGATATCGACTAAACCCTACTGGGAAACAAGGTAATGATGAAAAGCTATACCCGTGGACGAACCGTAGTATTACACTATGCAGGGGCGTGAAATCTCTTCTTGCGAGAATTTTGAATGTGCTTGAAAAGTGTTTTCAGTTAGGTGGTTATCTGCAGTCTGCTGCTGCGAGAGCGCGGGGAAACTCGTAGGCTGGCAGTTGGCGTGCAGTGGCACGTTTGTTTGCACTCGGACGATGAAAGGCGACCTAGAGCACTTGAATACGTCCAGAGAGACAGGATACCTTACCTAGCAGACGGCGGAATGGCAACTGTATGAACCAGAATGATATGGTGGAAACGGTGCGCGAAATCGCTGGAAAGACCAGTTTTTCAGCCTTGTAAATCAGCAATGGTTGATAGCATTGTGCAAAATTGGCCCTCCAAACAGGGAGCGGGCAGACACGCTGAAGCCTGGAAGTTTAGGGTGCACAGACCACTCGAGACATCACCTCCGACGACAGCACGCTCAGCACATGATGCAGAAATGAGGATTGAGAGAAATGGAGATAAAATTCTGTAATCAGAAACTGGTGAAGAATGCCTCGTTATAAGGTATCACTAAGAGAAGAAAACACAGAAGAAAATATGTAGAACCAACGCCAAATGGTGATGACCCCCCTGAAGCCACAAGCCCAAAGCTCAAGACACAGCGCTCCGCGCGTCTATGGCTCATACGGAGGCAGGCCTGAAGCAGAGCCAGCCACATTCTCAAAGGCCCTCTCCCTCTCCTTCTGCAACTCAATTCTCTTGTTCCTCATGTCTTGCTCCTTGCGAGACAGTTCACTCCCAATCGATTGTGCTCGTTGCTGTGCAGATTGCAGTTGCTGCGCCAAAAACATGGCCGCCCGCTCAACATTAGCCCGCGACGCCTTGATCTCCTCGTGGAACGCCATGTCGGTGAAGATATTGTCGAAAAACACATCCCGCATCAAACTTCCCTGATTGATCAACACCTCGGGAAGATTCCGAACGGCCGGGCTCATCCGCTGCGCTTGCATGACAAGCATCCTTGCGGCGTTGACCTCCATCTCTGCCTGGTGCAGCGCATTGCGCTCCATCATGTCGGTCAACGTGCCACCACCAAACATATCCCGTCTCGAATAAGAGAGGGCTTCCTCCATGGCGTACAACGAAGACCGCATTTTGTTCTGCCCCTCCTGGAGCAGACGAACTGCGTGTGCTTCTGCCTCTGCAGCGTTTTTGGTGTCGCGGTAGGCTGCGATGGCCCGGCTGGCCGCTTGCTCCTTCTCGTCTTCTGCAGGAAAGCCTGGTGTGGTGCCTGCAAAGATGGAATTGTACAGATTGTCGAGTTCCTGCTGCTTGTCATTGTGGAGAGCCGCTTTTCCTTCGAGATCTCTGGCAGCAGACTTGGCTTGGTTGAGCTGCTCGGTGATGTTGCGGTTGGTGTCGGTCTCCCGCTGCTCCTCCTGCAGGGCGGAAAAATACTCTTCTTCCTCCTTTTTTGCGCGCCCCTCGAATTTCTCCTTTTTACCAGTTGCCTTGTAGGCGAATCGGCGCATAACCGAGTCGCGATACTTTTCATGGTCCTTGAACTCCTTTTTGCGCTTGGCGTCGGCGGCGTGCATGCGCTTGTTGGATGCGGCCAGCTCTGCTTCGAGGTCGGATATTAGGCGGCGTTGCTGGTTGAGGGCAGGTAGAGCGTGGTCGGTTTCTGAGATGATACGGAGCAGTTCGGTGTTTTTTGCCGAAGCTTGTAGAATGTTGGATTTGACTTGTTCCATTCTGACCGTGGTTGTTGGAGACGATGCCGTAGTAGTTGTGGTACCTAATTAGTCGTAGTGTTGGTGGTTGACAGTTGATGTAGGACCCTGGGTACTGTTGGTGGTTGCTGATGCTGGGAAAGGTTTGCTCTGGGGATGTTTTATAACAGCCGCCGAATTATTTTATCTGCAATTCCAAAACAAAAAAACAAAAAAAAAAAATGAAAAAATGCCTTTCGGAGTCTACCAATTTCTAGGACGGCAGCATACTTATGACGTGAATGAGGCAACCAACAAGTTGACCATGGATGGGCAGATACGTCACTCCACTTGGTTTTGTTGCTGCGCCAGGCCTCGGTCTTCGCTCTTGCGGGGTCCAAAACCGACCCTGATTTTCCGAACTGCAGCTTCTTCATACTGTAACACGAGTGCCTCCGCCGTGATTTCCTTCTTGGCTTAACGAATCGATCTGCGACGTTGCATTTGCTGTCCCGTCACGTTCTGTGGACGAAGATCTGAGCAACTCGATGTTGGGGGCGGGGTCGTCAGCCTCAACCCCAACCCACGTATTCATCCTTAAGGTATCCAGCAAACGGTGCACACCACACAAGAAGGACCTGATAACACCCTTTCGTTGCCATGGTCTTGGTGCCGTTCCTAACATCTCTTATCATACTCGACTGTCAAGGAGATGGTGGCGCGGCCTTCCCAGACTGTTTGCAAGACTCTCGCCACCAAATACTTGAGTTAACTTGACATTTGTTCGGATGTCCAGGCAAGAGTAATGGTTGACATTCGAACAGTCAACCTTGCATGCATCCAGATACTTGACTCTGACTTCAGTTCGCTCGTGAAGGCTTGATAGGAAATGGATACATCCATCTCGATCCACGAATCGAAGCCAGCGCCAAGTCACCATCTTTTCCAAACCACTTGAGGATCTTCGAATGCTGCATTATCTAAATAGCCACTGACTTAGCCATAAATGACCAAAAGAGCCTTCGTTCGGAGGGTTTTCACGATAAGAGCTTTGACAGGTTCCCCAATGGGTGTCCCGAATGGGTCATGCGAGGGCAGTCTAGTGCTGCACTGTAACCCTAGCTGTATGGTTCTCGGCAGGCCCATGTGTCAGCTCTGCATCCTGGTGACCACTTGTGTAAATATGATGGAGATATACTTCCCTTTGGGGCTCTGGGAATACCACTTCGATTTGGTCGGAGATGGTGTCGAGCCCTTGAGTGTGGGCACGCAAGTGTTGATTCCTCATGGTGGTCCATATATTGGAGCCTAGGGCTGTCTGGGACGGTAGAGTGAGCCCTTTCATTTCTTCTTCATGGTCAAACAAGCGGTAAATCTCAGGCTCCTCAAAACCACTGACATTATGCCTGAACGCGTACTCTGGTAATTCAGCCATCTGCGCACCTTTATCTGCCTTGGACACTGACGGGTGACTAGCATTGGGGCTTCAGGCCACATCGGTGCTGCCGTTCTTGACCTCGTCAAGAAGACATACCCCAATCTCGACATCACCGCCCTTGTGCGCTCCCACGCCGATGGCAAACACCTCGAAGCCACCTACACCGGTGTCAAGATGATTCAAGGCAGCCTGGACGACCTGGAGCTTATCGAACAGGAAGCTGCGGCGTCTCAACTTGTGATCAGTATGTTTTCTAGCAAAAGTCGATCCTTTCTCATCGCCTCGTAACTTTGTTACTTCCTCTTCTGTTGCACCACAACTGACAACGATTCTCAACACCAGACTGCGCACCCGACATCTACACCCAAGGCATAACCGCTCTCCTCAAGGGCCTTTCTACTCCCTCCCCGGACTCCACCTCCAAGAGATTCTACATCCACACCTCCGGTGCAGCCCGCGTCTGGCCTCCCCACGACGTCAACCACCCTGACTTCACCCGCATCTGGGACGACCTCACGGACCTTGATTCGTTTCCCACGGACGCGACTCATGCTGCCCAAGATACCCTCGTGCAGTCCGCCAATGTTTCGCCCGGCGTCTTCACAGCCATCATCTCCCCCTCTTTCGTGGTGGGAAAGTCCCCCTCAGTTACTCACAAGCTGCCTATCATCTTTCCGGACCTGATGCACGTCGTCCGTCAAAGTGGCGGAGCCTTCATTGTCGATGCGGGGGAGAACTTCACCACCTTTGTGGATACTCAGGAGCTGGCGCAGTTGTATCTCCTCCTTGTAAAGAATGCGCTTGAGCACCTGTTAGACACCAACTCCACCCCGGAAGAAGAGGCCTGGGGGCCAAGGGCTTATTACTTCGCCGATAGTCTCGAGGTTACTTTCAAGGACTTCATGGTTTCCCATCTTGTTCCTCTACTGAAGAAACAGACAGATTGGATCAAGAAGAATGAAGTCACGCAGCTGAGCCTGGAGACCGTGGTAAAGAGTATTCTGGGCAGGGTTGTGAGTGCAGCCGGCGGGGAGTTTGAGGGGGCGAATATTTGGAGTCGACACATTGCTGAGGGATTTGGGACGGCGATGAGAATCAGTGGAGGCAGAGCGCGGAAGTATTTGGGGTGGAAAACCGATGGGAGAGTGGATTTCGAGGAGGCGGTTCGGGCTTTGGTTGAGGAGTGGAAGGCGGATGTTTGAGAAAGCTCTAAAAATGAGCCTCTTGGTGCAGTTGATGTTTTTTGACAGAAGAGAGAATGAAAAGAATAAAAAAATTTAATTTTCATGAGTGCAACATGTGCGACCCTCCTTCCTCGCTGTCAGAATCTTGACTGCGGCTTGGCACCTGGATTTGCGCAAACAAACAAAAAAGGGGTTGTAAAAAAGGGGGTCACCACTTCATTTTCGAGAAGGAAAACATTCCGGATCATCGGCCGGCTTCAGCACGGCATCGGCCCGTTGACGGGGCCAAAAAGAACGGAAGTCATCCGGGGCCAGGTACTCCGGTACGGGGAATCGAACCCCGAGCTCCTCGGATCGTGAGATACTCTTGAAAACGAGGTATGTTGACCGTTACACTATACCGGATTATTGTGCGATTGTTGTGAAATATTTGTGGGATTGTGGATGATATTGTGGAGGTGGTGACAGGGAAGGACCCTGGTAGAGTATTTTCGGTTGTGGTGATGGACTCCAAGAAACTCATTCAAGCCACGAAGCCAGCCAGGGCCAAGAAATTTTGCTGTATGGAAAGCGTATTCTTTGGGCCAGAACAGAGTCAGTGATGGTGGCTTGGTGATCATGTTACCTACCTCAGTAGGCGATATCATCCTCCAATTTTCTCAGCCATACACCGGCTTCAGAGCTCTACCAACCTCCCGATAGCGAATCTGATAACTTCAAACCGACTGACTCGAGAGCCTGTGTAGGGTTTCTAGGTAAAGGTTGGAATCAGATCTTTTCCGTCTTAATCCATCACGCCAAGCACACTCTCATGCCGTCTATACACCCTCCACACGGCGCCTCATCACGGATGAATGAATTTCCTGATGACTGTTCTATCTGACTGCTTCGCCCCAAGTGTTCCGTCAGGCCGTTTATCCTACCGAAGTTAGCATCAACACTTCAGTTGAATGTCGCTTGCCGCTTGGAAGACGCATCCACGTTCAGAGGACGACTTCCAAGATAATGTTCAAGAGCGAGGTTCGAGGCAAAGGTAGTCCTCGTAAGAGGCAACTTACTGGAGATACATTTTGGCTAAATGGGGCTCGATATTTTACATCCTCTCCCGACTAGACCAAGACTCGTCTGCACATGAGGCAGAACAGCAGCTGACTCGCCACGTGGGTGATCACAAATTGCGTTGGTCAAAGCCCCCAACTCACACGGAAACAACCGAGTTTCATGGACGGGGTTACAGTGACTCATTCTGCCTAAACAGAACTGCTCTTACAATCAAGTAGGTGAGCTACCCATTCTATCCTTGGATGTGCAATGATCCTAAGCTGGAACTTTCACCTTACTGCCAACGTCAAGAACACCGACATCATGTCGTTATGAATTGCTCCCATCCCAGCTTGATGACCACAACCATCGGAAGCAACCGACATACACCACTCAAGGTTACAGTGATCAATTTTGGCTAAACAGAAATCTCCAGTAGAGCTGAGGCGTACCGTTATCTTATACATAGTGCTCCTCAGTCTGACGCTACAATGGCGTTACCCACTTGTCCACCATCAACCTTCCCGTAGTAGGCAGGCGAATCAAGTTAAATCGAGTTAAAGCCGCCAACTAGTGAGCTGAGTAGACAGTCCGGGGAAATGGGGTCACTAGCAAATATGCTTGCCTTCCTTCCCGCAACCCGCAACCCGTAAGCCGTGATCCATACCCGAAGACCAGGACATGGTCCTCTCCGAATCTACAGATCGGGGGTCTAACCTCTTTTCTACATAGCTTCAGGCCAAAATGACGATCCTGACAATGAATCTATCGCCAAAGCTCGCGAGTGACTTCAGCCTGAAGAGATGATGTGTCACTATCCCCACACAATCCGGCGCTTTCCGTGACCACCCGTCGGTACAGGGACCCCGATATTTTGTTTCCAAACCACCCCGTACTTCGTAGATTGCATCATTTCGTCAATGGCAGTCGTAAGCCACAATAACAACAACAACAACACTCGCAAGAAGTTCGAGGAAAAAAAAGTGCGGGCGGCAATATAAAAGAAACAGAGGCGTTGTGGGGTGCGTCATGCACCTTTTGCGCGGTAAACCGGGGGCGCCAGCTGGATCTGTAATGATGCGCTGTGGGACTGGACCCATGTAACAGCGATTCGAGATTGGTGGGAATATTGGACATGATACCCCCAGACCCGGTTGCTTGTGTCCTTTGCCCGGTACCTAAGCTCCGGGCAGCATTTTTGCGGGGTGCATCGCCCAGCGCCGCTGATCATTTTGTCTTGTTCTTCGGGAGTTGCGAGTTCAGGCTAAAATCTCTCGTGCGACGTTCCACCCGGGGATAGCTACACGAGTGGTGGCGCTTTGATGACAACAAGACCATGACTAGGGCTAAGTTTTCCGATGAATCGTCATGTCGAGATGCGATAGGTGCGCATCATGTATAGGGGGGTTCGTGCAGTGGCGCTTCTGGTGGTTGATGGTCCCTCGGTGATGTTTGGTGATGGCTCCATGAGGAAGGAGAGCAAGTGATGGTGGAACTCGGATGGATGCTGCCGGCTACCGACTACCGACTACCATAGATCGACAACAAGGGATGGCTGGTGGAAACCAGTTGAAGCTTGATCGGGACGACGTTCCATCTCGAGATCTCTTGAAGTCGTGGAGGCGTATATAACCCCCTGGGAGACTCCCATCAACCTCCCTCATCTCCTTCCTCACCACCACACTCATCCATCACAACAACCTGACAAACAAGCAAGATGGTCTCCCTCAAGTCCCTCCTCATCTCCGGCACCCTCGCCCTGGCCGCCCCCGCCCCGGTCCCCGAGGCTCTCGCCGAGGCCCTCCCCGAGGGCTTCAACGCCACCGAGGCCTTCTCCCTCCTCCAGGCCCGCGCCGGCACCCCTTCCTCCACCGGCACCCACAACGGCTACTACTACTCCTTCTGGACCGACAACGGCGGCACCGTCAACTACCAGAACGGCAACGCCGGGTCTTACTCGGTCCAGTGGCAGAACTGCGGCAACTTTGTCGGCGGCAAGGGGTGGAACCCCGGCCGCGAGCGCACCATCAACTACTCGGGCAACTTCAACCCCTCCGGCAACGGGTACCTCGCCATCTACGGCTGGACCCGCAACCCGCTGGTCGAGTACTACATTGTTGAGTCGTTCGGCAACTACGACCCCAGCTCGGGTGCGTCGAGACTGGGCACAGTCAACTCTGATGGCGGCACGTATACCATTGCCAAGAGCACGCGGTACAACCAGCCGAGTATCGAGGGTACCAGGACTTTTGATCAGTACTGGAGCGTGAGGAACAGCAAGAGAGTCGGCGGGTCGGTCAATGTGGGCAACCACTTCCGTGCGTGGGCCGAGAAGGGATTGCGGTTGGGAAGCCATGATTACCAGATTGTGGCTACCGAGGGTTACCAGAGCAGCGGCAGTGCTTCTATCAATGTTTCTGGTTAAGTCTCAGTTGACTGCTCTCGGAAACGCTGTGGGAGGCAAGGAAAGGAACTGAAAAGGGGTTGGATGAACGGGGGATGATGATGTTGCTGCTCGCTCTCAGGGGTGGGTAGTTCTTGAGGGTATTTGGCTTCTTGTGAATATGGACACAAAAAAGAAAATGTACATAGCTTGTCCCTTCTAAACATTTGCACTTTAACAATCAATCTTCTGCCCATTATTGTTCTAATTACCGGTACGGCCCGCAGGACTTGATCTGATGTGATGCTGCTTATGCACCCAAGCTGATCATCTTGTGGGGCATGGGGGAACCGATAGACACGTGAAGAAGCAGTTTGCAAAATAAATGCAGTGTGTTAGTCGTGACTCGTGTGAGAATGTGTACCGTGTATCTCTATATACAACATTATTTGTCGGTATGTAATCATGTCTTATCCTCCATCCATCCCGTCATTATTCTACCCGTCATAAGGGTTGTCGTCATCGTCATCATCGTCATTAAAATCCCCCATCTAAATGTCGTGTCGTGAATGAATGCAGAAAGCAAGCGCTAATACCACCCAACCCAAGATCATTTTTGTTTCCGGACAAAAATTACTTTTTGCAAACAAAAGTCTCGCCAACGGGGTCCCCGTACAACCTCTCATCGGAAAAGTAGTTCTCGGGGTACTCGACGTCAACGCATTTGCCTCCGCCTGTTGGTCCAACATGGGGACAATGCACCTGGTTGGATTTGTCAATCATGGCTGTTGCAAACATTGGAAGAGAAGTAGAAAAAGGGCAGGTGCAAACTCACATCAGGCCGCACCTGGGTCAACACCAGGTGAATGGTCCGACAAACAATATTATCCCCCCACGCCTCGTCATACGAGCCATAATTCTTCTTGAGAAGCGTTGCAACGCACTCGGTCATCGAATCCCACTGCCGATTGCTTCCCTGGCACATAATCTGCGTCGTGGCGCAGATCTGGCTGATGCTGGACACCTGGAAATCCACATCGGAAATGCGCGCGGCAGTGGCCATCTCCACCCAGCTGTTCAGGTTCGGGATCCAAGCATCGTACTTGAGGACGGCACCCTCCTTGTCGAATTTCCAAAAGGCGACTTGCTTCAGCGGCGGCAAGGGCTTTCCATGGTCGGGCGCGCCGGGGTCAAAAACGCTGCAGTGGAGGTAGACGACCGACGACGCAGTGTCCTCGCACTGCGACTGGAACTCGGTGATTTGGGCGCGGGTGATGGCTGCTCTGGCTGCATTGGCCTGGGGCAGAGGTGAAAGCGCAAAGAAATACTCGATCGAATGCTCGAAGCCGGTAAAGTTGCCGACCGGGTCAACACGACCAACAACGTTCTGGGAGAAAAGGCCCTTGGGGACGGCGTTGGCTCCGCCAATGGCGATGATGGGCACTTGGTTCGGGTAGACGGTGAGGTTGTAGATGCGCTGTATGGTGTTGAGGTTGCGCTTCGCGTAGTAGTCGGCTGGTTTTTGGCTCTTGAAATGGGGAAGGGGTATCGTGGGCCAGGCAGAAGCCCCAGAGAGAAGCAATGCCCATGCGAGATAAATTATGGATAATAAGTGAAACATCATGACATCGTGATATACTTATTGTTCGTGCTGTTGTTGCTCTGCTAGTCGTACACACCACCAAGAAATTTAAAATGCAAAAAGAGAGAAAGAAAGATGCAGCCGAGATGGACGCGGGAGCTGATGCATCTTTATTGAAGAAATAATTTTTTTTTCGCGTTCCATGGCGTCGACGGTTGCGCCGTGTTTCCACTCCCAACCTCTTATTTCTATGAGGCTTTTTGCCCTGGATCCATGTCATCCCAACCAATTCTTTTTTTTCTTGTTCCGAACTTTGCTGGCTCGGCAACGTGGCGGTCAACATATGGCGTGCATTATATCAGTGCTTGGTGCGCTGCTGCTTGTATTCAGCTATGCCCA